CCTCCCCAACAGCTCTTTCCTCCCTTGCATACCCCACTGTTTCTCTTCCTCTTGCCTCTCCCCATTTATGCTCCTTTTTTTTTTTTACCAAAGGGTTAGGGTTTTGTAGTTGTCAGGTCCTGTTTTGTGTTGCTGCAATAAACTCACCTGTTTATTTACACCAGCTTGATGGTGTAGTGGTTAAGAGCAGCAGACTCTAATCTGGGGAACCTGGTTCAATTCCCCACTGCTCCACCTGAAGCTAGCCGGGTGACCTTGGGTCAGTCACAGTTCTCTCAGCCCCCAAAATAAACCTAGCTCACCACAAAAAGAGCTAGAGTTTCAGGCTGCCAGACAATCTTCGGATCTCCTGGCTATACTATGCCCACTGTCATACGATAATTATTACAACCCACCTGAAGTTTCTCTCTCTCTCTCTTCAAGGGCACATTCCATGTAAATGCATGAGAGCATGGGGTAGTGGTTAGAGTTCTGGATGAGGATCAGGAAGACCTAGCTTCAAATCCCACACTCTACTGTGGAAGTCTGCTGGGTGACCTTGAGCTAGTCACACTGTCTCACAGTCTTGCCCACTTCACAGGGTTGTCATAAGGATCCAGTAGAGAAAGGGAGAATGTTTTAAGCCACTTTGGGGACAAAAGCGGAGTATCGATGAAATAAATAAAACAATAAATACATAAAGCATACACAACCTATAGCATTGGATGTCCATGTGCAGCCATCCTGGCAACATCATCTGGCCACCCCAGGTAGATATTTAGCTAGATCAGGCCTTGTGCTCGATCAAGGGATGTGGGCAGTGAGTTGCCATGTCTGAAGCTGTCACTTAAGTAAGGCAAACAGTCGTTCTGCCCAGACAAGAATAATCTCCTCTAAGTTCTCAGACAAAAGTCTGTCCCAGCCCTTGGATTTGAGATTTGTGTAAGGGAACATGCCATGGATTGAAGCAGGGATCTTCTGTGTGCAGACTATGTGCTTGACTGCTGAGCTACAGACATTACAGGCTCATGATGCTCTCAGAGTATTAGGGAACTGATGAAAAATGTTAAGCAAAGTGTGAACCCCCCCCCCAAACTAATTAATTCAAAGTCCCAGTCACAAATGAGTTTTGCTCCCCTTCCCTGGAGAAATTGAAAATAGTTGCCATTCTGAATAGCCACCACTGGGAGCACAGCAGTTTTAAATATTTGTGTGGTTTTTTTTGCAAACGAACAAGTTAAAAAGAAACTAGAGGGATTCAGCCAGGAACAGAGACAGTGCTAGCATCACAAAGCAGGATCAGTGTATATCCCCTGCTCACCCCTACCCCCACATCTTTGTTTCTGGTTCAGTAGCTCAAATCAGTCACGGATGAGACTACCTCCTCCTCCTTAATTTGTTTAGTGCTTAAAATAATCTGAAGGTGTTACACAGAATTAAAAAAAAACACAAGTCCCTGCCTCGTGGCTCACAACACAAGATGGCAAGAGGAAAGGGGGGGGGGCAAGGAAGGCAGACAGAGGTAAACAGCTGATGGATGAGGGCTGGCAGATTCAGGTCAAAGGAGCTTCCCTAGAGTTGAACTGCAGTCTCTTCTGGCCATCAGTAGTTTGGTCTCCATGGCAGAAGGAGCTGCAAGCGGATGCTGTTGTAGAACAGTGGCCCATGTGGAAATCCTGCTAATTTCAAACACAAAGATTATCACTCTGAACACACTCAGAGGCACCCATCTTTGTTATTATTATGGCATCACCGTGGGGCATCCTGACCTGGATGGCCCAGGCTAGCACAATCTCATCAGATCTCAGAAGCAAAGCAGGGTCATCCCTGGTTAGTACTTGGATGGAAGACTGAGGAAGTCCCAGGTTGCTGCACAGAGGAAGGCAATGGCAAATCACCTCTGCTTATCTTTTGCCTTGAAGACCCTATGGGGTTGCTGCAAGACAGCTGTGCTTGATGGCAATTTTCACTTGATGTATCCAGTTGATGGACTCAGATTTATTGGTACTGAGGCAATATCTTTATTATTGCGGAGGGGGAATAGGAACAACACTCTACACATCTTCAGAGGCAGTTCACCTTTATTATTTGGGGATGCAGGAAAGGCTCTTTGCACATCTTCAGGGGCACTCATTTTTATTATTTGAGGGCTCTACTAATAGGGCTGCAAGTTCCAGGTTCGGAAATACCTGAAGATTTTGGGGGTGGAGCCTAAGGAGGTCTGGGTTTGGGGAAGGTATAATTCCATGGGGGAGTATTTAAAATGCCATAGAATCCAATGAGATCTAATGCCATAGTGTCCACCTTCAAAAGTGGCCATTTCCTCCAGGTGAACTGTTCTCAGTTGTCTGAAGATCAATAGTGGGAGATCTCCAGCCACCACCTGGAGGCTGGCAACATTAACTACTGGTGATGCAACAACGCCACTCTGCACATTCTAAGAGGCACACACGTCTTTATTACAACTGCTAATGTTCCAGCGCTGAGGTTCGGCTTTTTCAAAATTTAAGCACAATTTTAACCACCAGAATTTAAAGGTATCTCTGCATCTAAGGAGCGCGGAGCTCTGACTCACGAAACCTCCCGCTTAAATAAATGTCGTCAAGATTTTAGGGTGTTGCCGGACTCCTGTATAATTTTGCTACAACAGACGAATACAGTTACTCCTCCAGAACTTAAAGTCATTGGTGTGCTCTGCTACAATCTACTAAAACCTACCAGGAACCATTTGCTTTCTGTCCACAAAATCCTCCATCCAAACTACAGCTCCCGAAAGGCCAGAGAAGGAGACGTGATACCACATGACCCTCGCGCTCTTCTTCACTCCTATTTTAATCACGAGATGCTAGAGTCCGGTCTTGTTTTACGTCACCCACCAAACAAGCTTCAAGGGGGTGGGACCAAGTGGACAAAGCGTTGAGACGGAGACCACCGAAAGCCTGACGTCAGGGAGAGGCGGGACCCAGACCCACCAGTGAGCGGGGACAGACAACGGAGCCGACGGGTGGAGCGAATTAAGGGGACAGAGTCTTTAAGGTTGTTCGGAGCGTTTCCGGTCGCAGGCGGACTGCAGTCTATGAGATAGCCGCATTAATTGTGGCATCTCTAAGGCTGACGCATACATTGTGGGAATCTCCAGATATTTTCTGACTGATGGCCAGTTTTAGCATTCATGTTTGCCAACTTCATTATTTCATTGATTTTACTTATTTGAACCGCCACGAACAGGTCTCTAGAAACGAATAAACAATATTCTGTATCCCATGGCAATTTATGCTTCAATACCTCTGTTTAGGCTTTTAAGGGGGCACAAATCTTAAAAATAAACAGACACCCCGCCAAGTCCTGCATAGAAATCGATGACATTCTACTAAAATAAACACTTTATTCCTCTCCAGAAAGCAGGAAAGGAGCTATAGTAACCTCCCTGAAGATTATTTCAAAGCGATACAATAAAGAGTGTAACCTCCCTGAAGACCGCCCATCATCCAGTGAGCAAAACACTATCCGGTGATGGTTGTGAAAGTTAAAGAGGCAAGATTATTTCAAAGCGATACAATAAAGAGAGTCTCTAACTCTCCTTAATTCGTGCTACCCGCGCCTGAAAGGGCACACATCCGTTTATTTATGTTGCAACAAGTCCTAAAAAGACCGACACGAGATTTTTTAAAAATATATATTTTTGCTGCATTAGATTAACAGCCGAATCTCATGAAATGTGTTTAGAATTGCATCCTAAGAAGGCTGCCACTTTGCAATAATATACTTGTCTGAAAAGGGAATAAAACCAAGGGTGGAAATAAGTAGGCCTAGAGTACCTGTATGAAAGTGACTGAAGCGACTTCCCCCATCCTCCATTGCCCCCCCCCCAAGACAGAATCAGTAAGAGAGCAATCCTAAACTGGTGTATTCGGAATTGATACATAGGTCTACTCATTGGGACTTACTCCCAGGAAGTGTTTTCAGAAATGCACTGTAAAAAAGTTAATTTCATCTGTGAATAGAATGCAGTGATACTTTAAAGACAATCCACCTCTATTTTAAAATACCACCCAATACAGAGTTCGGTAGAGCTATGCTGCAACCAACAGCAGTGAGCAGTTATCAATAGGCTTGATCGAGGCATGATGTTAATCTGAAGAACAAACCTGGAACCATTAAATCAGATTTGCCTCTCTCTTCATAGGGATTCGGAACAGGGAACAGAAGATGTGTTTAATCATATTTGCTTCTTCTGTGTTTAGTCTGTAATTCACACCAAAACTTTCTCTTCTTCAACTCCCCCCCCCTTCTGTAATTTTCCCTATAAGGATTCCCGAAACGATTTTCTCTTCATATACCTGAAGAAGTGAACTCTGACTCAAAAAAGCTTATTGAAATCAACGACCGGACAGTCTTCAAGGTTTTAAATGACACTTCTGTTTCATTTCCTAAAACAGACTAACATGGCCTCCATGGATAACTACATAGGATAGCATTGTTAGGGCCCCCCTTTTCTTGAAAGAGTGCAATCCTAAGCAAAGTTAGACCTTTCTAAATCCATTTAAGCGAATGGGTTGAGAAATCGAGTTTCAGCTCCAGGTTGGGAAATTCCTGGAGATTTAGGGGTGCAGCCTGTGGAGGAGAGGGACTCCAGCGGGGTATAATGCCATACATTCCACTCGCTAAGCAGCCGTTTTCTTTAAGGGAACTTGCTTCTGCAGCCTGTAGATCAGTTGCAATTCCGGGAGCTCTCCAGGCCCCCCACCGGAGCCTGGCAACCTTAGATCTAGCTCCGTTTACGCTTGCACGGCCAGCAGGGCTACCTCTTGGCCAACCACCTCGCGTCCACGGCGCGATGGTAAACCGGACGTCAAGCGTGTAAGTGCGCCCGTGTCGTCTCGCTCCCTTTGGCCAGCCAGTACGGGAAAGGGAACGAGGGTGCCGGGCCTGAGGCAAAAGGAGGGGGCGGGGCCGGCCGGCCGGGGAGGCGGGGCCTGTGCCTTGCTCCAGGTCGCCTCTCCCTCCCGGCCCCTCCCTCCGGCACTTGTGAGTGACAGACGCGCTCCGAGGAGCCAAGAGGGCGAAGCGCCGCCGCCGCTGCTTTCGCCGAGCGCGTCGCCACCGTCCTTGTTCTCCTCCTCCTGCCCGCTATGAGGCGGCCTTAAGGGTGCGGGTGAAGCAGCCGTCCGCCCTTCCTTCTTCCCTCGCCTGCCACCTTCTCGCCTCAGCCCAGCGAAGCCCGGCGCGGCGGCGGGGTCTGGGCTCTGCTCACCCGGCCCCCGATGACTGCGGCAAACTGCGGCGGCGCCAACGACGACTTCGACTTCAGGCTCATCTTCGGGGAGGACGTGCAGCCCGGCCCGGGGCCGCCGACGCCACTACCACGCGCGCTTGGGCCTGCCGCCGCCGCCGCAGCAGGTGCGCCTCTCCGAGGGACGCGGACGGGGCTCGCCCGCCTCTCGCGTCTTGGAAGGGGGGGAGGGGGCGGCGCCCCTCGGCTCCGTGGCAGAGACCTGCCTTGCAAGCGCGGGGTCCCCCCGGTTTGGTTCCCCGGCGTCTGTCTTCAGCTAGAAGGAACCGAGACAGCAGGGGGACGCGAAAGTCTTGACTCCGTACATGGCGGCTTCGTGCATTTGCGTTTCATGCAGAAGGTCCCGGGTTCAAACTGTGGCGTCCTTAGCTAGAAGGAGCAGACTGTAGGGGGGTGTGCAAAAGTTTTTATTCGTGCAACTGTACCTGCCTGCGAAGCTTGTGTTGGGTTTCTGAGCATTGGTAGCTGAGCATTTCCTTTGCACGAAGAAAGTCCCAAGATTCAGTCTCTGGCACTCGCTTAGAAGTAGCAAATAGCAGGTTTTTTTAAAAAAAGTCTTGGTATAAGATGGCTTCATGTGAAACTTGTGATTATGGTTGATTCTTGGTGGGGCCCTGGCTCAGATACAAGAGTATCCGCTTTGATTGCGGAAGGTACTGGGTTTAACTTCAGCCCTTGGCATTTCCAGCTGGAAGGAGCAGATCATCAGGGGATGTAAAAGGCTTGTCTAAGTTTAAGGGTGTCTTCATGTGAAACTTGTTTTTGCAGTTGTGGCTCATTGGCTGATCATCTGCATTGCATGCTAAAGATTCCCGTGTTCAGTAATTTTTGAGATCAGGTGGTAGGTGCTGTGAGAGGGACCGTAGTGGAGGAGATAATATTTTGACCTTGGTAGACCTTAGCTGGGGACTACCCCCCTTCACAAGTAACAATGAATGCACGTACAGTCTGTGTACAGTATATGCTTGATTTTTGCTTTTATACATATGTTGAGTAATTCTCATGTTACATTTAATGCACATGCAGCTAACTTGTGGTTTAAACTTCACATTTATCCAGGTGCTGGTCCCCAGTTTCATTTGTAAAATGAACACATGTTGACTTTTTCTTAGAAACTGTAATATGTGAGCAGAGCTCTTGAATTTGTGTGTAGGATCAAGGAGGGATGCTGTGCTCACGTACTTGGAAATGGACCCTTTGGAATCTGATAGGAAAAAAATTCCTGCTTCAACATTTACAGAAGTGTAGCTGCTAGCTGCATTGCTCAGTGGGACTTGCTTCTCAGGAAAAGTTGCATGGGGTTGAGTCATGCTGTTGCGCTCAGTGATTTGTTTATGCCTGTCCATGTGTGTAGGTTGAGTTTTGCTGTGCCTTACTTCCGAGTAAATCTGTGTAGGTTGCAGTGCTCTGCTGGCTACAGAGAAGGAAGATGACTAGGGGGGCATAGTAGAGATTTATAAAATCAGAACTCAGAATAGAGAGTGGTTTTCCTCTCTCTCCCAAAATACTAGGAACTGGCCTCAGATGAAACTGGTGTTGGTAGATTCAGGACAGACAAAAGTGCTGTTTCTCACAAAGCTTAATTTAACTTGTAGAATACATTGCCACAGGATCTGGTGGTATCCTGTAGCATTGGTTGTTTTAAAAAGTGAATAGACACTCTTGGGGGATAGGCTCATAAAAGGCTACTAGCCATGGTGATTAAAGGGGATTTGCACATCCCAGTGGTTTTATTGGATTTCGTGTTTTAGTTGTTCAATATATTTTATGTAAGCCGCCCTGAGCCTGCCTTGGCAAGGAGGGCGGGATACAAATCAAATAAATGAAATGTCTGAGTACCACTGTCAAGGGGCAACATGATTAAGGGAATGCCTTGGTCTCTATTTGTTATCCTCCCAGGGCAACTGATTGCCTACCATGTGACACAGGATGCTGGACTAGATGGATCACTGGTCCGATCCAGCAGGACACCTTTTATGTAACATCTCTGGACTTGTTTCTGTGCAAATTTCGTTGTCGGCTGTGGTGATTCTGTTCACCCTTCATTGGGAGTAAATCTTGGTTAATACAGTATCATACTTCTGAATAATCATGCATAGGGTCCGGAGCCTGCTATCACCGCTGCATACTTGCTTAGTGATAAGTCCTTGGGGGACTCTGTGTTCTTGTTCACACATGTGGCTTTCTGGAACCCCTTCTTGTGCTCCCTCAGTTTTTTCTCCTTGAGGTAGAGGGAGCTGGGGATGATGCCTGCCTTTTCTTCACATTAAGTGTATCATAACAGATGAAACTTTTGTATCCTTGATAAAGATAAAAGTTTGGAAAGTGCTGCCAGTGCTGTACGGGCTGTTTTCAGAACACAAGAAGCTTCCTTCTACCAAATCAGCCTACTGATCCACTTAGCTCAGTGTTGTCTTTGCTGACTGGGGTGGCTCTTCAAGGTCTCAGGGCGGGGTTTCCCCTTGCTCTTCTCTCAGTGATCCTCTTAGTTGTCAGGGATTGAACTTGGGACCTTGTATATGCTTTGCATACACACATCCTCTCTTGCCGCGTTATGGGATCTCCCTGTGTGTTGTGAAGACTCCTATCTTATTTCAGTCGAGTAGTGTGGGTACAGGCTAAACCTGAGACTGGTGACTAGAATAGGTTCAGGCTGTTGGCCATTACGGGCTGGAGTTGCATCTGTGTTCACATATGGAAAAAAGTAGGAAGCTGTGTGGTACTTGAAGGATCCCATAATAAGGCTTCTTGTTTAGTGAATTTTGAACTGAAGACTTTCCAGCCAGTGGGTTTGTTACGAAATAGCAATGTTAAATCTATCAAGTGGTCATACTTGGGAATAATTGTTTAGGGGGCATGCTGGCATTCAAGCTAGCCATTTGTGATGCAGTGGAAGAATAACGTGAAGTATCTTGGGGCTTTCTGGGTTCTAGTGGTTATGTTTTGCAAATATTTGGTCTGTTTAGAAGAAGAAGAGATTGGAGTCTCAGAGTGGCTTACAAACTCCTTTCCCTTCCCCTCCCCACAAAAGACACCTTGTGAGGTAGGTGGGGCTGAGAGAGCTCTTTCAAGAACTGCTCTTTCAAGGACAGCTCTGAGAGAACCTGTGACTGACCCAAGGTCACACCAGCAGCTGCAAGTGGAGGAGTGGGGAATCAAACCCGGTTTTCCCAGATTAGAGTCTGCACACTTAATCACTACACCAAACTGACTCTCTTTAGGATAGGCAGGTGGTAGTGAGGAAATACAAAGTGGTCTATGTGTAGGTGGCTTATAGGGCTCTTCCAATTTTATGCCCTCAGCACGACTGTGAGGTAGATGAGGCTAAGAGAGAGTGACCTAAGGTCATCTGATGAACTTTATTGCATAGTGGGGTTTGAACCTAAGTCTCCCAGATCCTAGTTTGACTTACTAGCCACTATACCACACTAGCTCTCCATGGAAAGTTTAGAAATAATAGGAAGTAAGAACTCTCAACTCTGAAACATGGGCTGTCACTGGCAAGCAAAGAATGAGCTTTTGAAGAACATATGTTTGAATGCTAGGAATCTATCCCTCCTTTCCCACCCACTCCACCTCTAGATGTGGGGGGTAGGGGTTGCATATCCAGAATGGAGAAGCTTTGAAGGAAATGTTTTGCTGAAGAGTTCTTTTTATAGCTGGCATTAAAATGCATTTTATGTTCCTGAAGAATGAATAGCCCTTCAGCAGAACCCATTCTTTGTGCTGGTTTCTGTTGTAGAATCTGATAGTTGCTAAATGTTTTAAGGGGAAAATTGGGGAAACAGAGACAAATATGTTTCAGCAGTTTTAAAATTTTTCATAGTAAATTTCAAAATTGAAGGGTTTTAGATCCCTTTTGCTCCTTGAAATGACTTGGCATAAACTTGACAATCTCTCTTATGTTCTTGAATGTAGTATATTTGCAGAATTCTAGACTATATTAGCTCAGATATAAGTACCACTCTACTGTTGCTTGATCTTTATATATTGTCAGGTCATAAAGCCATTAGTCCGTAATGACTGAAATACTACAGAAGCCTTACTTATTGTACTCAGTAAGAATCTGAAGAAGCAGTTGGTTCATTTAAAAAAAACCTGTTTCTTTGCAAAAATTCTTAAGATTCTATGATACCATCTTAATATAAATAATCACAGTGAATGAAAAAATTGGCCTCACGCTTTGCAAGCTTTTTAGAAATGTTATCCAGTTTGCATTTTTGGTGTACACCTAGTGTTTAAAAAGCTGTTTACAATAAATTACAATTAAAATGTAGCAGAATTTTTTTGGTGTGTTTTTTGGAAGTTGGAAAACATTTGGCTGTATCAGTTTCTGTAAAGGGGAAAAGATTAATAGCTCTCGAGTGTACCTTTGTGAGGTGAATAGCCTACGTGCCTGTAAAATGTAGCCCAGTTGCTTAGAAAACCTCTAGGAAGCCAGGAACGAAGTTGAAAATGAACATAGAATTGTTGAGAAGATGTTAGGTAAATAAGGTTCTAGTACTTTGGGGAGACCAACAGAGAAAATGCTTCTTGATACTATGGCGAAGTATGCAAAATACTGGCTAGTGTTCTCAGTTCAAAGATGATGCTTCTCTCTGCCTCCATGTTGCAGTCTTCTTAACTGTAAGTCAGGTTTATAAACAGCCATGTGCCTGCTGGCCTGGGAAGAGTAAGAATTCCTTCCAGGTGACCCGGCCAGAAAGCCTTTACAGAGTGGATGAGAGTCTGTTCTTGTTTGCTTTCAAGCTACTGATGTATATCGCCTGTTAACTTGTGTGGGCAAGAAGCTAGTGACTTTTGTGGATGTATCTTCAGATTGAAAATCTGTTTTAAGAGCTTGCAGTGTTTATGTTTCATTTAAACCAAGTGTACATGGTGTTAAAAATGAGGAATTCAAGCATAGTTGAATAATTGAACTACAACGCATGGTAGCCAATCAGCCTGGACATCCTGGTGCCGTAAGTAGTTCTTGGTGGAGGTGGTGGAAAGTGCTGTCATAAAGTGTTACAGGAAAATATATTTCATGTGTACCAATTTCTTGTAACTTCTAGCCTGTGCCTCATGGTCTTGTGTTGAGTAGTTTTCTGAACAAGCAGTACTGTAT